CCCCCCCCCCCCCCCCCCCCCCCCCCCCCCCCCCCCCCCCCCCCCCCCCCCCCCCCCCCCCCCCCCCCCCCCCCCCCCCCCCCCCCCCGACACACCACGCGTGTCCCCGCACCCCCCCCCGCCCCGCCCTCCCCCCCCGGGCCCCCCCGAGAACTCAATCACTGCAAATAAACAAGGAGGGAAGCCCCCAAAACAGCGCTGATACCCCACAATCTCCTTTTATTCTGCAGTTAATGGGGATTTATATTCATAATCATTAATCAGCCCTCACCTGGGGGGGAGGGGCAGCTAATTACTAATTACTAATTACAATTTCATAGGTCAATTAATTACAGCTCTGCCCCCATCACCTCCGTGTTTTAGGGGTGATGGACCCTCCCCCCCACTCTCAGTTTTGGGGTGCTGATTTCATGGGGTGCAGGGCTTTGGGACAGGAGTGTGACCCCATTCTTGGGGTCTGGAGCCTTGAACTTGGCCGTCGGGGGGATCCCCCTCGGGACCCCCTGGAATTTTGGGGACAGCAGGAATAACCTTAAAAAAAAAAAAAAAAAAAAAAAAAAAAAAAAAAAAAAAAAAAAAAAAAAAAAAAAAAAAAAAAAAAAAAAAAAGAGAGAGAGAAAAAGATAAAGATTTTTTCCGAACCTTTGGAGTATTTTGGGGTAAAAGGTGATTTGAAGCCCCTCCCATGTTTATGTCGGTGTAAACCAGGTGCTCCCCCAAATCCTAAGCCCGTGGGTGCCCCCCCCCATGCCCCAAGGTGCCCCCCAACCTGCTCTGTCCCCCTCCAGGTGTCCCCCCACCCTCCCAGGGTGCCCCCACTCACCGTCCCCCTGCTCTCCTGCCGTGCCCCAGGGCAGGGGGGCAGGACAGGGGGTCCCCACGGGCATGGGGGGGCACAGCCAGGCCGGCTCTCAGGTGGCCCCCCTGGTGGGACCCCCTCAGTGCCCCCCACCTGCTGCTCAGCATCAGCATCGAGCTTCTGGGAAAGGGGGAATGAAAAAAATATATTAAAATATTTAAAAATATATTAACATTTCCCCCCTTGGAAAAACAGCTGAGAACCCCACATTACAGGGGGCTTGGGGGTCAGTTTTGGGGTGTCCCACCCATAAAAATTCAATTTACTTTTAAATATTAAATTAATTCCAACCTGAAAATTAAGAAGCAAATCCCCATCAAACCCCACATTTTAGGAAGGGCTGAAGGCAAGGGGTCAGTTTTGGGGTTCCCAGAGATGGGGGTGCCCCCCAACAACTTAATAATTAAAAATAAACTGAATTAACAATTCCAAGCTGAAAAATACCGAGAATACCCTCACCAGCCCCTCCAAAGCCCCACACTGTGGGAGGGTTTAGGAATAAGGAATCAGCATTGGGGTGCCCACCTGGCAGTCCCTCAGCAGGCCGATGTACTGGGGGTTTGGGGTGGGGTTAGGGATGGGTTTGGGGTCTGTTTTGGGGTGCCCACCTGGCAGTCCCTGAACATGGCCCTCAACAGGCTGATGTACTGGGGGTTTGGGGTGGGATTTAGGGTCTGTTTTGGGGTGCCCACCTGGCAGTCCCTGAGCATGGCCCTCAACAGGCTGATGTACTGGGGGTTTGGGGTGGGATTTAGGGTCTGTTTTGGGGTGCCCACCTGGCAGTCCCTGAGCAGGGCCCTCAGCAGGCCGATGTACTGGGGGTTAGGGTGGGGTTTGGGGTGTGGTTTGGGGTCTGTTTTGGGGTGCCCACCTGGCAGTCCCTGAGCAGGGCCCTCAGCAGGCCGATGTACCGGGCCGCTGCCCGCAGCGTGTCGGCCTTGCTGGGCCGGCGGTCCCGCGGCACCAGCGGCACCAACGACCGGAGCCGGGAGAAACCGCTGTTCAGGTTCCGGATCTGGGGGACAGAGGGACCCCCCCAGGGGGATCAGTTTAGAGACCAAGGAGGGACCCCAGTGAGAGAATGAGGGGGTACCCTTGGGTTGCACCAGGACCCCCCAGTCAGGCCAGGACTCCCCAGGGTTAAACTCTGAACCCTGAGATTAAACTGCACTCACCAGGATTGGACCCGACACCCCAGAACTAAATTGGGGGCCCTCCAGAATCAAACCAAGAATCAAACCTCAGGATCAAACTGGGCTCTCTGGAATCAAAGCGGGGCCCTCACAGAATTAAACTGGGTTCCCCAAGATCTAACTGGGGCCCTTCAGGATTGAACTGAGCTCTCCTGGAGTTAAACTGGAGTCCTCAGGATTAAACTGGAGCCTTTACAGGATTGAACTGGGCTCACTGAATTACACCTGACTCCTGCAGAATTAAACTGGGGTCCCCAGCAAGAAACTGGGGCCCTTCTAGAATTAAACTGGGTTCCCCAGGATTGAACTAGGCCTCCCCACAAGGTTAAACTGGGTCCTCCCAGAATTAAACACCAGGATTAAGCTAGGGCCTCCTAGAATTAAACTGGGACCCCAAAATTAAATGTGCCCCTTCCATGGGTGAACTGGGCTCTACTGGATTTAAACTGGGGTGTCCAGGATCACACTGCCCTCTTCAGGATTAAACTGGGCTCTCCCAGACCTGATCTGGGGTCCCCCAAAAACTAGGCCCTCTACAGGATTAAACTGTGCTCACCAGAATTGAACCTGTCCCTCCTAGAATTAAACTGGGACCTCAGAATTTAACTGGAGCCCCTTTAGAGTTAAACTGCTTCCCACCCCCAGGATTAAACTGGGTCCTCCTGGATTTGACTGTGCCCTCCTAGAATTAAACCAGGTCCCACAGAAATAAATTGAGAACCCTCAGGATCAAACCAGGCTCCCCAGGATTAAAACAATCCCATCCCCCCACACCCCCAGATAAAACTGAGGCTTCTGGGATTAAACCAACCCCTCCAGGACCAAACTGGGCTCCTCAAAATTAAACCAAGTCCTCTTAAAATTGAACTGAATGCCACTCTAGGATTAAACCAGACCCTCCTAAAATTTAACAGCCCTCCCACTCCCTCTAAGATTAAGCTGGGCTCCTCAGAATTAAACTCAGCCCTCCTAAAATTTAACCAGAGCCCTCCAGGACATAAACTGGGCCCTCCTAAAATTTAACTGGGACCTCTCAGGACCAACTCCCCCCAAATGCAAATCCCCCCCAGCCCCTCACTGAGCACCCCTGCCGGTGCCCCCAACTCCAGCAGCCCCGGGGGTCCCACCATGACGGGACACAGCCCCCAGCCCCCCCCGGGGAGGGATTTTGGGGGGTGTCCCTCACCCTCTCTCTCTCCTTGGCGTTGGCCACCTGCCTTCGCTCCAGCACCTCGGCCGGGTCGCCGGTGGGCTCGTACTGGCCCTGGGCCCCCCGGCGCAGGCGGGCGATGGGGGCAGCGCGGGGCAGGACCCCGAACTGCTGGCTCAGCACCCCCTCCAGCATCTCGGGGGGCGGCGTGGGCTGCAGGACCCCCGGCAGCTGCAGAGCCTCCGTGGGTGGAGGGACCCCCGTGGATGGTGAGACCTCTGAGGGCTCCGGGATCCCTGAGGGCTGAGGGACCTCTGAGGGCTCCGGGACCCCTGAGGGTGGTGAGACCCCTGAGGGCTCCAGGACCTCTGAGGGCTGAGGGACCCCTGAGGGCTCTGGGACCTGCGGGGGCTGTGAGATCTCCAAGGGCTGAGGGACCCCCGAGGGCTCTGAGACCCCCTCCTGCCCCTCCACTGCTCCCCTGGGCTCCCCCATCCTGGGAAGGGGCTAATGCTGCACCTCGTGAGCTGACACCCAAAAGAGGGGAAGCTGAGTAAACCCAGGAGCCTTAAATACCCCAGAGCCCAGCGAGGCTCAGGTGGGGCTCATCTGGGCCTGACGAGGGGGTGGGCACGGGGCGGGGCAGGGGATGCTCTGGCCGTGCCTCAGTTTCTCCACTCGCCCTCCCTGCCCGGGATCCACAAAGTCCCGATCCCAAAAAGGCGCCCCAAAACCATCCTAGGGGGACTCTGGGGGTCTGTGCAGGGATGGGCACTTGGATCCACTCTACAGGGGGAGATGGGTCGGTTTGAGAGGCCTCGCGTGTCCCTAAAGGTGTGGGAAGCACTTTTGGGTGGGGAGAAGAGAAATATGGGGATTAACAACACGAGGGCGTGCTCGGTAGATGGCAGTGTCAGTCCCTGCCATGCTGGGAAACTTGGGGAGGCTGGAAAAATAGGGGAGTATCTCCCTTTTCTCCCATCAAAACTGAAGTCAGGTCACCCTGGGTTATTCACCGTGCAGGGGATCTCACCCCAGTCCCTCCACTCGAATGGATCCCCCCTCGCCTCTGGTGTTTTCATGGGGAAAAGCTCTCCAAGGGGACTCATCCTGCTTTTCCCGGAGGATTTGAGGGCTCCAGAGGGCAGTGGGTGGGTCATGGATATGTTCCACCATGGAGGGCTGGGACCACTGTGCCTCAGTTTCCCCAAACCAGGAAGCACCTGGGAGGGCTGGATACCATCCCCAGCTGTTCCAGGATCCTGGAAGTTCGTTCTGTGTCCGCAGGGAGAGCAAGGGTGGGGAGTAAGTTGTAAAGAAACCCCTTAATGGCCCCAAAACGAGCCTCAGAGGCACCTGGAAGTTAATTGAGGTTTTAATTAGAACCTGGAAAAACCCAATTTTCCCCTCTTTAATGCTCCTTAATGAGCTTCCCTACCCCACAGCCGGCTCCGGATAATCCCATTATTCCTACCCCAATCTGGGCATAATTCCAAGATCTGACAAATTGATCCAAGGTGTGAAGTCACCCCCAAAATGGGTTTGTGCCCGGCTGCTCACCTGGATTCACCTGTGGGAGCATCCAGGGGGAATTGGGAGGGTTGAATCCCCCCAGCTGGGGTTTGCTCCTTCTCTGTGTCCAGAAAAGCTGGGAAATGCTCCAGGTTGGATGGATGAGGATTAAATATTGAGGGAAAAGTCGGGAGAGGGAGATGGAAAAGGGCCTGCTGGAAATGGGGTTTGCAGGGGGTGTATCCTTAGGGCAAACAAGTGGAACTGGGGGGAAAGGAATTGGGGGTCACAGTAGTTTGGAATCAAGGTTATCACTCATCAGAGTGATGAGAGAGTCACAGCTATTAGGATCAGGGTTAATGGGGGTCAGTGGTATTAGGGACCTAATTTTTTAGGGCTCACAGTTATTTGGGGGCCAGGGTTATTAGGGACCACATTTTTAGGGATCTTTTTTTTTAAAGGTCACAGTTCTTAGGGACCAAACTTTTTAGAGGTCACAGTTATTAGGTTTTGGGGCTATTAGGGGGTCAGAGTTATTAGGGTTCACAGCTGTTAGGGAGCATGGGTTTTAGGGGTCACTCTTTTTAGGGATCACTATTATTAGGGGCCATGTCTTTTAGGGTTCATTTTTTAGGGGTCACAGTTATGACAGACCGTGGGTTTTAGGGGTGATAGTTATTGGGGATCACAGTTATTAGGGTTTGGGGTTGTTAAGGGTCGTGGTGATTAGAGACTGTGATTTTCAGGGGTCAGGGTGATTAGTGGTCACGGTTATTAGGAATTGCAATTTATTAAGGGTCATAGTTTTTAAGGCCCATGATTTTTGGGCTCATGCTTTTTAGGGGTCACAGTTATTAGGGACCACATTTTTTAGGGATTTTTTTTTTTAGGGTTCACAATTATGAGGGTTCAGGGTAATTAGGGTTCACCATTATTAGGGACCTCATTTTTTAGGGATCACAATTATTAGGGATAAGGGTTATTAGGGACCATGTTTTTTAGGGATCACAGTTATTAAGGATCAGAATTATTAGGAGCCTCATTTTATACAGGTCATGTTTTTTAGGGGGCAAAATGATCAGGAGTCAGGGTGATGAGGGGTCACAATTAGGAACTGGAGCTTGGGAAGGGCTGAACTCCTTTAAAACAGCATCACAGCAGCCTGGGGGTGGTTTGAGCCCCCGGGAATGCTGTTTTCCAGCCCTTCAGGCCCCGTTATCCCTGTCGTTTTCTGTCTCTGAGCGTGACCAGAGCAGGAGCCAAGTCCCAAAGCCTCATCCCAGTATGCTCCCCAAACCCAGGTGTCTCCAGCCCTATGGTGTGACCCCATCCCACCCACCCCGGGGCTCTTGGGATCTGACATTTCCTGGTGTCATGAGACTGGAAAAACAACCGGTGGGTGTCCGGTTCTGGGGGCGGGGCGGGCTGGGAAGGTCAGGGCAGGGGGACAGTGCCAGGGCTGATCCGGGCCTGGGACAGCTGTTGGCACAGGATTAAACCTCAATCCTTCCTGGCGTGGTCCCAAACCTCTCAGGAGCGGTTGGTCCGTGCCAGAGCTGCCAGCCTTGTGCTGGCTCTGTGGTGCCCAGATCCCAGCCGGGGGTGGGGAGAGCGGGAATGAAACACTCCGAGGTGGTTTATGGAGCAGTGGCATCACCTCCGGCCACTTCCCCGGCTCCATCCTCCTCCTCCTCGTGCTGCCAATCATATTCCAAGACACCCACTCTCCCGGGAAGCTGCACCCTGGATTTCCTGGCTTCATCCACAGCCTGGTCCCTGAGCTCTCCAAGGGTCAAGCCTGGCCTGGCATCGGGACCCCCATCCCAACTTCCAGTGGGTTCTAGGGGCCTGGGTTGGGTTTGCAGGTGCCAGTGTTGGGAAATGGGGGAGAGTGAGTATCCATATGGACAGGGAGGCTCCTGGAAAGCTTTTATCCTGTCATTAAAACCATGAAATCCTCTTTCCTGCTGCCATCGATGCTGTTGGTGACATCAGGATCCGCATCTCCCAAGTACCTCGTCTTAGTCAAATATCCCAGTGCTCCTGTGGAAGGGAGAGATTTGTCCCGGTTGAGCCTTCCCTGCTCACACAGAAGTTTGAAGGAATATCTGCGAGGGAAATCCGGAGGCTGCGTTTGTATCCAGCCCCGGGGCTGATGTTGAGGGATTTGTGGATGGGTGTATTCCCAGTGCGACTCCCAGGGGGCTGGGGGGCATCCCGGGGGGCATCCCGGGGGGCATCCCGGGGAAAATCACCATTCCTGCTGCATCCCAGGCAGCCGCTCCTCCATCCTCGCCTTATAAAGGGACTATTTATCCCCCCTTTGTAGTGAGAGGCAGGGGTGGGGCGCTGGGGGGTGGGGATTGTCCCCGGCCACCCACCGAGATTCCCGGGAGTCCCACCCTGGGAAGGGGCAGGTCTCGCCCCTGCCATGCCGGGATTATCCATGAGGCGGGAGAGACAATAGGATTTCTGAGCGCGGTGAGGATTCCAGCAGGGACGGTCGGGCTATGGGGCTCAGCACCCCTCGGATCCCCCCGACCCCACCCATTATTCCAATGGGATCCTAAACAATCCCGGCTCGGTTAAATCAAAATAATAATTAAAATCCTGCTGGGATTGGTGGGAGGGAGCAAATCTGGGACATGCAGCGGTGCCCCCACTCCACATCTCCCACCTCCCAGCGCACGCGGTTCACTGATTTTCCCGGTGCTGGAGATTCCCGGGAGGTGGATGGCGGAGCTGGTGCTGCTCCCGGCCGCGATCGGAGCGGGATGAACAAAGGTGGCTCTGTCCTTCCCGGGTGAAGGAGCCTTTGTACGAGCCGTGGGCGGCGGAGGGAGGATCCCAGCCTCGGGCAGACGGAGTTTTCGCCGTCGGAGCGCAGAGGAATTTGTGGAGATAAAAGAAGTTTCCGCTGGATGAAGGCGCTGCCAAAGCCCCGGCACGAGGCAGGTGGATGCGGGGGCAGCTGGGGAGGGGCCGGGGCTGCCTGTCCTGGGGTCCGGATGAGTCCTGGGCTGTCACCCTGGCGATGGATGGGATGGGATGGGGACGGGTAGGGACAGGGACAAGGGTGGGACCGGGATTGGGAGAGGGAAGGGGGTGGGGATGAGATGAGGACAGGAAACAGGATGGGGACAGGGATGGAGATGGGGATGAGACTGGGACAGCGATCAGCACAGGGATGGTAACAGGGGTGGGGATGAGATGGAAGCATGGCAGGAATGGGGACAGGGATGAGGATGAGGACAGGGACAGGGATGAAGATGGGGATGGTGACAGGGATGGGGATGGCGATAAGAACAGGGACCAGGATGGAGTGGGGATAGGGATGAGAACAGGGACAGGGCTGAGGATAGTGATGGGATAGAGACAGGGATGAGGATGTGGACAGGGATGGTGTTCAGGGATGGTGACAGGAATGTGAACAGGATGGGGACTGGGATGAGGAAGGGATGGGACAGGAACTAGGACTGAGATGGGGATGGTAACAGGAATGGAGAAGGGGATGGGAGTGGGAAGGGCACAAGGGTGGTGTCAGGGGTGGGGACAGGGACCAAGACAGGGATCGTGGCAGGGGTGGGGATGGGGACAGGATTGAGATGGAGATGGGGTTGCGGATGGAGAACAGGACAGGGAAGGGAAGAGGATGGGATTGGAACAGGGATGGGATAGGGACAGGGATGGGGTAGGGACAGGACCAGGATGTGGACAGGGATGGGATGGGTACAGGAACAGGACCGGGACAGGCATGAGGATGGGGATAGGGGTGGTGATGAGGACAGGGATGGAGCCGAGGCCGGGGCTCAGCTCTGCCTTGCCCCTCCCAGCCCGTGCAGCACCTGACCAAGGGCCGGGGCCGGGCTCAGTGCCCAGACTGAGATTTAGGGCTGGGTTTAATGTTCAGCCCAGCCAGGTGGTGCCTGAGCCCAGCCCAGAGCCCCCAAATCCGAGCCTTGCCTCTTATCCCAAACCCACTC